GAAATGATATTTCTACATTTTGAGACACTCAAGCAAACTACTGGAGGCTGAATAAACATAAATTTAAATGAATTAACTTAATGATGTTAGCATTCTAAAGCAGGATGAATCGAAGAATCTAATCTTTTAATTAATAAATGTGATTTCAACAGTTTTACCTGGATAGGTGCAGTTCTTTCGACGATTGATTCAACTAAGCAAACATTTTTTTCCTTCCTTAGGAAAGACGGTTCAAATTTTGGTCATAGCATAAGATAAACTTTAGTTTATTTAAAAATTAATGATGACATCTGTTTGCTATGAAGTGAAAAAAGGATGTTGGTATAGGAAGGGACAGTTTTGAGTTTATGATTAATTGTCATACATTTACAGGTATTTTCAGTTAACTCTTCTTCAATTCAATTATACATATTCACTCCGTATTGGAAATATTTGTTGAAATTGCAGCAAGAGATGTTCGAGAAGGATTTTCTTATTCGTTATCATCAGTAATAACCTATTTGGGTTTTTTCTTTCTTTATTCTGTAACAGTAAAATCGTTGAATGTTGATGAGAGATTGATAACTATGATATTTATCAAAGATACCTAGTAATTATCTTAGAAGAAATGCTTCATCAAGTCACGCTTTATTAGTAGCAGTATTTTATTTTTATACATTTGCTTAAAATAATTACGCTATAATGAAATGAGATAATTCCATTATTTACAGGTAAATTGGTGACATAAACGAGGGCTATCAATGTTACGTATTGTACGCAACGTTTTCACGTATTGGTAACAGTGTTATTTTACTTTTACCATTTATCTCAAAGAATTTTATTTTGAATTTAAATTATTGTCAGTAGTTACTTGCGATTTATTCTATCATAGATATGACAAATATAACATTATTTTTAATTTCACATATAACTACAATAATTCTATTAAAAGTTTGGTGTATACCTTAGCTAGTAGGTATAATTAGAGGCTATGATGATAGAACTAATTCATCATTGCTATTAATCTACTTCCCATGTTACCTGCTGATTTCAATTAACTGTTTTTCATAGTGCTTCTAAATGTCCTAATCAGTTCTACAATGTCAAATAGATCCAAGTAAGATACATGAATTATACTTAATTTTTGAATCTTAACTATTTTTTCTGCTAAATTGCTTGCAAATACCACTTGATATAGGTGTAGTTTACGTAATATTGAAATCCTTGAGATCATTCCAGTTTTCTTCTAATAGTTGTTCATTTTTATCAACTTATCGGTAGTTACAATGCAGGCTAAAATACCCCAACTTATAGAAGAAAATTTTAGAGAAACTTGCATATACGATACTATCAGGATTATCAATAATAAAAAGTACATGAATCCTGTTGATGGCTTAATTTGTGCTGCTAAAAGCAAAGCATGTTGGATATGGTCAGGGGCGGAAAATGCCGGAAATTTTAACAGTGTTATAGAAGGTGAAATATTGAGAAATCAGTTATCATCAATATAATCCTTTATCATTTTGAGAAATCAGTCAACAAATGAAGTATTTTAAAAAAGTAAAACTGGAAACTAATTAAAATGTTAATACGAGTCTACTAAATTTTATCTGGCCATTTATTTGGCTCATTATTATTGTCATTTGGATCGCTTTTATTCAATCTTGTGCATTTTGATGTGAGCTTAGTTGTTCAAAGATTAGCTGTAAAATCTTTAGGTCAACTATCATAAGAAGAATTACACCAAAAAGCTGAAATTGATGTAAAAGTTGACAAAAGCGAAATCCTACGAATCAAGATTAACATGATAGACTATTTAACGAATAATTTACAAGTAGTTCAAATTAATTTCAAAATTTAGAATCTAGATTCACTTCGCCCTACACAAGAATTGGACCTATGTTAGCCCGGAAAGGTCACATGAACAAATTACAGGGGTCAAGTATTGCAGAATAATACGGCTGGATAAATGAGATAAATTCTTCTCCTTAATTAGGTCAATCGCGCGATGAACAGCAGCATTAGTAACAAAGAACCAATCGGATGACCACCAACATAGAGGTCATTATTGGACAGCGTGTTAATCATTCAACAGATTATCATCATTGATTTCTTTTCATGAAATTTGTGTAATAGCCTAACAGACGAGATTCTAGGATTAAAATTCATTTCCCCATCATTCCTAATCTTCATTTTCATACAATTTCCCGACAGTTAGATAAAATTCTCCTCGAAACTACTTGGCTTTTTTCTTTCCCACCAAACTTGGATTTGGAAGTATTCTTCGTTCCTTCTAAACAGATATTTGAACAGATTAAATCGAAATAAAAATAATGACGGAGTTAAATGTATAATTAGCTAAATAAAATTTCCCTCCTACAATATACAAAATCTCATGAAACTTTCAAAAACAAAATTCCTACGGCTAGTTTAGAGATGTTTTTCAAGAAATAACAAGGATGATTTCAAATAATTTCATTCCCTTTCGAATATTTATGAATTTTCCCGAAAGAAACCAATTTAGCCTCAATTTGTGTTATACGGTATATTCCTTATCGCAGATGAATATTTTATTCTAAATTACAATTAATTTCCTTTGGACAAAACTGTCACAGAGATCATCAAAGTTAACATGTCTTATTCCAGGATTGCTAAAATATTTTGGCAATACAATTGAGGGTATCTACTAACGGAAAGGAATGGCATCTGTTCGTATTTCCAGAAAAGATCAACTGAAAAAAAAGATTATAATGCGTGATGCAAGCTACAAATCCATTTCATCTATGATTTAAACTATCATTGACGTAATAACACGCATATGACAAACGAATACTTTAATAGTTATTTAAATTGAAGAAAATGAATGCATAATTGTTGGATCAAAAGATCTCACAAACTTAACGTATCATTTACTTATTATTGTATATCATTTTAAGGATGGCATCAGTGATGACTACCTGCAATAGGTTGAAAGTGTACGAAAAATGATTAATAAATCGAAAAAGTTACTGAAGAGGAAAAAATATAAGTATATCGAAATGGAGGATAAACGGATGACGATAACAAAAAGTCATTTCTCATAGAGATGGTATGACAGAAGCCAAATGCTTAATTAGACTAATTTGAGTTGAATTCTTTGGAGTAGTTTGCAACAAAAACGAATATATTTGATGTTTGTCTCTAAGCATTATTTGTAAAAGTCTTAATCAGATCATTAAGCTGCTAAGCTCGAATTATCTCGTATCACTCATCCGGTTCAGATAATTAGTATTAATATTATCATGTGATGTTAATATCAACTAATTAAATTAAGAATCCCATAAGAATGATTTTTCGTCAATCAGGCAAACACAATTCTCACCGAATCATTATATCATGCATGAGAAAGTAAAACTGTTACAACTACCACTAACAGAACATAACGTCGTCAATGTTAACCAAATCTTTTCAACCATCTATCCAGACAAACATTGAATCATCTCCCGCGGTATATTGAATGAGATTTCCGCAAGCTAATTTTATATTAAGCCAAACGCTATCCAAACTTCTGTGTTGACAAATGATTCGTAATACTATAACAGCTACCAGTATCAGGAAATCGTCACTTATTATGTTATTATGTCACCAGATTAATAATGCATATACGTTTGATTCTGTTGCCTAGTAACGATGGAAAGATGAGAAACTTGTCTACCATAAGTTTCATGTTTGAACATGATGAGCGAAATTTCTAGTATAGTATGTTCGAAGAAGCATTGGAATATGAAATATCTTAGATAAGGAATTAAACATTAATTGAGCTAGACAACGGATGTGAGACATGCTTGATATAGTCGAGAGATAGGTAAGCATTATTGTTTATTGAAAGGTGTGAAGCAATAATCATTCAAGTGAAACGGATAACTCGAACCACGGAGTAAATGAATGGGAAATATCTGGTAGATTTTATAATTCATCAGACATTCCATAAAACCTTGAGTGTGATCAAAGAACTGTCGAAATCCTTGACAGATTTTCTATCTTTAAACCCAATTCTTCCATCTTCTAAAAGAATCATAAGTTGAAAAAAATATAGAATAAGTATACACGATTTAATAGTACAGGTGAGATATTATGTGGATACTCACGGAGTGAACGATGTACGTGGTTGGGTAAAAAAACACTACTCGTTCACCAAAATGTTCCTACCAAACGCAACATGTGAGAAATTAACATTTTGATTGCATCATGTGGTCGCAGAAGTATCTCTTCTCTAAAGCACTGATCTTCAGAATATACCTTTTCTTCAACATCACCTTTGCGCTTTCTTTCTTCCATTAAAGAAAAGAGAAAAATAAAAAGAAAAAAAAATGAATGAAAAGTTCCAGAAATCAAGAGATTTTGCCTTAACAATGCGATATCTTCAATTCTCTAGAAAACAACTATTTAAATATCTCCATTAAACAAACTATCCAAAACCAGTGAATTTACTTGACAGAACAAATTTAGCTGGGATGAGTCGACATACGCATAAAAATACAATTCATAATTTAATTCATGATATAATCAGATCTTTTTTGTAAACTTCGTAGCATCGAAATAAAACTATCACACATTCCAATATAATATGTACATGATAAATTCAGGAAAACAACATAGAATTGGTGTTAACGATTTTCCTATAGAATAAGTTACCCCGGATCCAGAAAAGGTATATGATCCATAAAAGAAATATAGGGGGTATTAATACCTGCACCAATTTCCATATTGAGAAAATATAAAATAACAAGAGTATTAACGAGCTGCTATGTCACACGACACCTTTTTTAATTCTGAGTAGATAAATACATGTAGAAATAGAAAAATACTTGGTAAAATGTACGCAATTATGCTTCTCCTAAAATGTCCGTCTGAACAGGAGAGAAACAAATCTCAATCTTCAATCTTAAAAACCAGTATTGGTATTCTTTCATTCCAAAAGGAACGCTTTATCTTCTTTATAACGAAGAAACCAAAGAGCTTGGTTGTTAATTAAATAACCTATTGGTATTTTTCAATCCTCCAAGCATATCAGGAAAGAGGATATCCGAGAAAGAATTGGTCGAATTTGCTCCTCACCGACATAATCCGAGTTCCATACATTTAATAAGTAACTGAAAAGTCCTGATTTGAAACAAGCAAAACAAGAACATAGAGTAAATCATCATGCTTTAGTATAGAAACTCTTACTTAACGCATATCATCAGATGCTAAACGTCATTTGTGAAGGCAAAACTAAATGGTCAAGAAACGAAAATATTTTAAACCAAAAATGTGTTTCATTCTCACTTAGATATTGCATCCTCACAGCTGGGATGTGAACCGAAGAATAAGTTAATAGTCAGTAGGATGAGAGCAGAAGGAAACGGTGAATGATCCGAATCAGATAAACTGTGCAAATATAATGGAGCACGTCCTCGTAATCTGTCGATTCCTGAAAATTTTTAAACCAGTAATTCTTTGTTCCGAGTGCTTAACAAATCAAAAGGATCAGAAATTCTTGAAGATCATCTATGGGTATTTATATAAATATATATTTCCATCTGAGGATATTCACTTCTCACTTTCCGACTCCTAATACTCAATATGACCAAGGTATTTATTTTGAAAATTTGGAAATCTTTCAAAGTTTACCATGTAAAATCACTGATTTACTGCATTTCGATAATGATTTTGTAACTTCACTTTCCAGCAACTGTCGTTCTTTGTATTCATTACAAAATATCCTGTCAATTTCTCCCTTACCGGTGACATTCGAAAAAACATCACCAAGAGCATCTGCTAACATATCGGCTTTCGTACCCGTAATCAATATGATATATGGTTCGATTGCTTTCTGAAATCTCAATACAACATTCCAAACTTTTAAATCATTTCCACTTACTTATCCATTTACTGCAGTTCTTTCTTTCATTACTTAGTACTTCTTTTTTTCTCTTCTTATGTGTTATGATTTATTAGCATTTCCCATCTTAAATATCATTTGCTAATTTTTTCTTTTCTGTGCAAATGGGATCTGAATTATCTGTCCCACCCGAAAACTGACAGTATATCTTTTATGAAACCCAAGAAAAGTGGGATATTTGTACAACCTGCTGTATGAAATGTTTAGAAAAAAGTTTTCTCTCATATGATATCCAGATAATGTGAGATAGTCTAAAAAAAACATACCTGGTAGACCCATTTTTCACCAATAAGCCGTAATACTGCCTTCGTATTGGTACCACGTTCATATTCGACAGTGAAATTTTTCCTCAAAATACTATTTACCTGCTGCTTATATCTGTAAATAATAAATATAATGCATATATATATTTTTTCTTACATAAACTCCACTTCTTTGCAGCGATTACTCACTTCGCATTTGTCTATCCATCGTTGTATAGGACAAAAAATAAACTATGTAGTACAGAATGCATTTATGATGTTTGTCACTTCAAACTATATTATCCTTTACACATTCAATGTTGCAGTAATATAATGCTAATTATTATGAGCATATAATTATGAAAAAAGAAATCTTGTCGGAACATAAACTACTGCACGAATCATATTATATATCATATATCAAAATTTGCTGAACTAAAGGTTGAAAAAAACACCAACCTCTTTAGTAAAGCGCTTCCATTGTTGGAATTTGCACATGAGTAATTGTGATAAACAAAAACAACAACGACGACAATAATAATAAAAGCAGGAATAATATACGGCTGAAAGACAAATAATTTTATGCGAATATGAATAAGTCTTTTTTTGTTTACTTTGAAAGAACTGGTTAATTAAGTTATAAGTTATAAGCAAAATGGGCACTAGCCAAATCTCAAGCACCAGAACATCCACAAATTTCTATTGTTATATACATATAACCTTAACCTCAAAATTAATTTATTAAATCACTGTAAATGATTTAATGGATTAATTATGAAACTATAAAAATTATGAAGTTTCGGAAATAATCCTAGATGTCTTTATAATTGGGCAAATTCTGCTACATTAATGTCAGAAGCAAAAAAAGTTTTATTACATCTGCCCAAGAAAACAGATTCCGAATCCGATCCAATAGTATCAATGTTGAGTCATTAGCACTCCTTTCAGAATCATCATATTCTGAGTGATCTGACTCATAAGACCTGAATGGATATAGCCTGAATTAACTGAATGTGAATCGCTGATGAATAAAAAGTACAGATTACATCAAGCAAGCTTATTGATCTGATCAACTCTCTCAGCTCATTTATGGAAACTACTCGTCACTGTTAGATATCAGAAAAAAATTTTTCACTGCTAAAAGAGATAACTATCCTAGTAACCTGAACCATTTCAAAAACGAAATAAGGTTTGTTACTATATCTCTGTGATATGTTTCATCAAATGACAATTAAGCTAATAACAACCAAATTCAAGTTTCACACTGGACAGATAGAAATCCAGATCAACTGCTGTTAAGCTTGGATTTCGAATGCGTTTAACAACTTACACATTACTATCGTTACTGTCATCATAGTTGTGTTCTAGTTTTGGATACAAGTTTCCTTGCCGACTTCGATTCCGAAATGACGACTGAACTGGACTATTCTGCACATATGATTGACGACTCCTCTCACTAGGCATAGTTCTTGGAGTTCTTCAAAATTCAAATAATGTCATTGAGTATCAGAAAAGAAAGATAAATTGATAATTGAATAATACAAACGGCGTCTGGAATTAACATAAGCATTATTTCTTTCTTTTTAATTTTATAATTTGATTCTCATAGTGATTTCTTTTTTTTTGCTTTTATAATCTGATTTTAGTAAAAACAGTAAATAAAGAAACACAGGAAAAATACAGAAATACAGGAAAAAAGATTTCTGTACTTGAAATACAAAAAAAAATATATATGAAGGAAATTTTGGAAAATGTTACTTACATCTAAAATCTAGATATCACATCAAGTGTAGTAGAGATGAATCCTGAATCCTGAATAAAAAAACCTTGACATTATGGTCAAGAGTAAACGAGCACAAATGGTATTTGAAGTCACGCGGACAATCGAATAATAGCAACACCCTGAATTAAGCAAAATTCACTTAATGGAATAGCACAAGGAGCGATTTGCAAATTTGAAATCTCAAGATAAATGTTTATTTTATTCATAAATGAAAAGTGTAATTGTTTTGTAGTTCTGGATAGTTACAGTAATAACTCTTACGCAAATTAGTCATATTGTCATATTTGTGACATTACCACCATTTGTTATCAATTGAAGATTTTTATTTTGATGTAGTCTGTGCATAGTATTTTTCGGAGTCTCTTGATAGTTCCAGAAGATTTCTTTTGGATAGCATGAAGAAATGGGTTGATACTTGAATGATTAACTGTACTGAGCATGAAGAGGTAGATATCGTTCAGGAAGCATTCCAAGATAATTCTTTGTCACCTTGTCATCCTTTATCATATATCATTGCAACAATAGCCTCAGTAGCGTTAATGGCTGTAATGAAATAAATCCTTTGTCCTAAACAATTATGTGGGAATTCAGATAAGGCTTCTTAATTTAACATATATATATATATATATATATATATATATATATATATATATATATATATATA